AGTAGGTTGTTCCATACTCCCACATCCCTTGGTGTAAAGACGTGCCTCCTGTTCTTGGTTTTACGCACTCTTCCCTGTAGTATCCACTGGTGTTTCCTCTGCTTGGTGTTTCACTGTTTGCTCAGAAGAAGTCCGCAAGGTAGACCTTTTTGATCCCTTTGAGGATTTCGCATGATATCATTGTTGTGACACGTGTGTTTGAATAAACTAACCACCTTTATGTGCACCCCTGCTTCCTACAACACAGGATCTTGTGCATCTGCCAGCCCTTCTTCCCTCCAGAGAGTTTGCTTCCCAGGGATAGAATCCGAGCAGGTTTCTCCCGGTCTTGTCCAATCTTCAGTATCGGGCCACAGAGGAGCAATAACATAACAAATCAGTCAACCAACCAATCAATCAATCGTTTATTGATGTCTATAAGGGATATAGTGCCCTTTGCATCAGCTTTCTACAGAACCGCCCAGCGGTTGACAGTGTTGCACAGGAACAGCAGGCCACGTGGGCAGAGGGGAGAGGGGGTCTGGAGACATGTGATCTTTACCAGCATACTAAATGAGCTGAATGTCCATCTGAGGCCCCTGAGAGCAATAGGGTGTGGGCGTGTTCATTGCACACAATCACCAAAGTGCTCTGCTGACCACGACTCCTGCTTCAGCGGTCGAAGCGAAATTGTTCCAAGGGTTTAGAAATGGGAGAGTTATGGGCAGCTCACGTCACCTGATACTCTGTGGCTGTCCATCTCTGGAGTGGGGCTGCCTTATCCAATAACAGCAACACATGATCCATTAACTGCGAAAGCCCATCAATCGTCATCAGCCTGAAGCAAGGGGAAGGATGCACAGATAACATGCTCACTCATCAGGGGGGTGAAAGGATATCACCAGGCTGTGCAAACCCATCAGTTAAGTCCTGCACTCCCAGGAGACCCATGTGTTTGCTGCTTTTCATGCCAACTAGGCTCTTAACCACAGTGCCAGCTGGGATAGGCTTGTTCTTTTATACTTTTTTCTGCACTCAGGCCTTGGTTTCAAAAATACCTTAAATACCTTGTCCAACAAATTAGGAATTTGCTACTTTATTTCTGTCTAATTGGCTCTTAAAAGATAGCTATTAGGAATGTTAAATTAGGTGATATAATATTAGGAATGACCCTGAATCCCACACTGCCACAGTGTCTGATTGTTCTCTTTCTAAATGGGTTGATAGCAATTACAAACTCTCCTCCTAGAACACAGATGATACTGTAGTAGCAAAACCCACAGGCCAGGCCGCAAGGGTCTCTCACCCAGGACCAGGGCTGTCAGTGAACGATGTGTTCCCTTGGCACATCAGCACAGTGGCTCACAGAAACAGACATCCTGGGAATAGCAACACAGGCCAGGAAAGCTATTACAGATCCCCGCTAAATTAATACAACACCGTTTCCGGAAGCAAACAGTCATCCCAATCTGCAAATAGTAGTGAGTGTAGTTTCAGTTACATATCTCCAGAGATCCTGCATTTCTTTGACACTGAAGTCACGTACACAACACCAGGCACGAAATGGAGCAGACACAAACACCCCAGTACCCTGTATGCCTTGGCTTTGTGCATCCTGCAGGTCCTGACACCAAAGAAAAAGAAAAAGGATTCGTGTCTGAATTTACCATATAATGCTCTCACACCTATCACACAGTCTTTCAGACTGAAAGGAGACGGAGAATGAGCTTCATCGACATGGCTGAAACAATGATGCTGCTCTCAAAAGCTTGTGAAACATTGAGCACATAAGATGCATGAGCTTTTCCCGGACATGTGCCCCAAGGCACAGCCCATCTTGGGGAGTGTCTGATTGGTCCACCCAGCAGGACACACCCCCAACAGACAGCAGTGGAACACACAGACTGTCAGCCTGCAACTCAAAAACACAGAGATGTCGGTTCTCACAGACTGAAGCGTGGTGCAACTAATAAGACAGGAGGCAGACAGACAGGAAAGCCAGCGCTGATTAAGTCTTAACAGAAGCCACTGCACAATAACAGGGCTTGAAGGATAAAGAGAAAGTCTCAACAGTTCTTTCAATATTTGGAGAATTATGCACAGCAAGCACTGGGACAGGAGACCTCCAGGGAACACCAGTCTGCTGCTGGACGCGATGAGGACAGTGTGCTACAGGATGTGCCAACATCCAGATAAGATGTTACCAAGTCAGCTCTTGGGAGCTAGGCAAGGCTGGGCCTGGTCAGTACTGGGACAGGACACCTCCAGGGAAACCAGGTCGCTGCTATCAGCGATGTTAGTGGACCAGCAGGTGGTGACAAGTTCCACTCTTTACAGCCTGACCTCCTCTCTCCTCCACCAGTGGGGCTGCACTGGCAGTGGCTATTGCACAGAAATACTTTAAATGAGGCTTAAACTGTCTGAGAGACTAAACAGACAGAAGATACCTATGGTAGGGCCTTACTGTACAGACTGAAGTGGCAGGTTATGGTCTTTCTTTACTGAACACAAAGTGTACAGACCTTTCCCCTAGATGGCAAGAGCACATGTTTCTCCCTAATCTGCTACCGCCTGCAGTGATACTAGAAGTACAACCTCCTGGCCTTCCCCGGTGGTACAAACCGACCCATTCCCACCCCACGACGCACCCCATACTGCCTGGAAAGATGGCAAAGAGCTCTTAAATCCCAGTCTCCTCCAGTCCAATCCGTCTCCCAGCCCTAGGGGGTATTTCTCTCAGCTGTCCAAGGTCACGTCCCCCTGCTGCAGTATCCATTGCGTGATGTGGCCGTGCGGGGGTCTGTTTCATGTCCCTCTCGGTGCAGGCTGTGGGGGAGATAACTCCGCGCTGGCGGGACTAGAGACAATGTAGTGATTGTGGAGCCCGTGTTACTGACAAGAAAGCATGTGTGACTTGTGTTGTTATTATTAGAAGTGCCCTGGCAGTTTCTCCCTGTCATCTGACATTTGCTGCAGGATAGGGGAATTTTTCCATTACTGTTTTTAGGGGGATTTTAATTTTTGTTTTTTTTTTCTTTATTCATTTTTAGGTGAAACCACTTCATTTGAGCCTGGTTTTCACAAAAGTGAGTGCTGGACGTGATGGGGACCAAAATGGGTCCAAAATGCCTCATATTACTGCTAGTTTGTACTGAATAGCGTCATTGTTTAAGCTTGGTCACTCTGCACACATGACTCTGTTCCTGCTGTTTTATGTTACTGCTGATAAGGGCATCGGACGGGGAGCATGGTGGCGCAGTGGTTAGCAATCCAGCCTCAGGGCGCTGGGGCCCTGGGTTTGATTCCTGGGGCACTGTCTGTGTGGAGTTTGCATGTTCTCCCCATGTTCACGTGGGCTTCCTCCCACAATCCAAAAACATACTGGTAGGGTCACTGGATTCTGGGCACACTGGCCCAGATGTGAGTGTGCGTGTGTCTGTATTTATATCAGTGCGCCCTGTGATGGACTGTACCCCACCTTGGGCCCACGGCCCTGAATGGGATGAAGCCGTTAGAAAATGGATGGGGGATAATATCATTATCATTATCAAGCAGCAGTGGAGAGGCTGCTTTCTGTTTTTCTGCTTCTAAATTCTGGAACTCAATACCACTTTTTATTAGGCAGTCAGGCTCGGTACACTGCTTTAAAAAAATCTTTTTAATGTAGCTTTTAGTTAAAATGGTCCTTTGTTCTTTTGATTGATCTTTCTTTTTATATTGATCTTTGATTCTTCTTATTTTATTACAATTGCCCTCATTTTTATTTCTTTTTCAAGCATAAATTGACATTTATGTTGCTTTACTGTATTACTGTGTTCTCCTTTACAACTTGAAAGTATATCTCTTAATTTTAAGATTTTATTTTTAAGCTTGGTTTGTAAAGCACTTTGAGCTGCCATTTGTATGAAGGGTGCTCTATAAATAAAGTTAATTATTAGGATTATTATTATTTTTATTCACTAGCTACAATATTTACTGTGCATAATTATGGATTATTTAAATATCTGCATTATTCATCTATTAGCTGAGCACCTGCAAAAATGGGTATGAACGCCCTCTGGCAGGGTGGCCATCCTGGATGGAGTCTGTACCTGTCTGGTACAGGAAAAGGAAGGAAATCCAAGGAACAGCTGTAAACAGCTGTGTGACTCAGGAACTCGCTGCCACATTTTAAACTGCGGCTTGCATTCCAGATCTTGGATGCAAACGGTGAGCAGAAAATGAATTTCAAGAATAAAAAAGATATGATCCTAGGACCGATTTCACTTTGCCAGGGGGAAAAGGCTTTCAAAACCGAGAACAGGAGGTACTTCTTTACACAAAGGGTTGTGGGAGTGTGGAACGGGCTGCCCCGTCACATTATCTGATACTGAAAGCTGATGCCTTGGCCAATTTCAGGACACTGATCCATCATCGGGAGATCAGCTATGTGAATATTGGTTTCGCAAAGTGAAAGAAATAAATCTGGGAGACCATGCGTATTTCCGTACGAACCACAATTAATATTTATCGAGTAATTCTCGCTTCTTTGTTTTAACAGAAAGACGTTTAGGAAAGTTCGCTTCATTTACTGACTGAACCGGCCCCGTTCTAGAAAATCCTATACTGGATTGCCTTATCAGGATAGTCCGTGGCCTATGTCCTATGATAAAAGATACTTGGAGCTGTATAAGAGGCCCTTATAGACGTTTTAATGCTGAACTCTGCTACACAATAAACTAATTCACGCTCCGTTTAGTGCTTCCAGTTTATTGTTACAAGACGGTGCTATTCAAGACTATCCCAGTCACAGTACCGGCCAAGCTGCTTTGGTGGGTCAGTCGCACGTCATGTGTGCCGCTTGCTCGTTGCCAATAGCGGCTTGTGTCGGACACTGCGGAGCGGTCCAGATAAGGTGAAGTTTCCTTTGATTTCCATGATGGGCCAAGCCGTGTAGTTCGATTGGCGCCTCTTCCTAAAACGAAGGGGACGTTTTGCTCCTAACAGCAGATTTTTGGCCACTGACTGGAAACAACACACCCATGCGGGTTTGTGTTCCTGCGGAATGTAGTTTAAGCGACTGATCTCCGACGCTTGCGCACCCCAGTCTGTGTACGTGTGTGTGTGTGTGTTTGTATTTTGGGAGGAGTTAAGCGTGAAAAAAAAATTGAAAACAAATAATGTCGATTCATACCGGGGGACCGTGAAATTTCGCCTTGAAAGAAAATGAAAGAGTGAAAAGTGGGAGCCCCAGAGGCGCGTTAACGCGTCGTGAACCCCGGGTCCTGCATGTTTTTTCCGTCCACTTGTAAGTGTGGCGACCCGGGAATCGGTTTTCCCTCTAGACGGGATTAATCCCACCGCAAGTGTCAGAGCCGGGAAGCGGGCGAGACTCCTCCCCCTCGCCTGTCGCTGCTCAAAACCAGCCTGCGCTCCGGCCAGCCGTCATTGCGATCGTACTGAGACAGCAGCGGCATCAGACAAGCGCCGCGGAGACACAGACACAGCCAGGGCGGTGCCAGAGCACTACATAACTGTACAGGAGATAAGGTAGGCTTGAGTGGGTTCGGTATTTAGCTATATATGCGTGTTAGGTCAACGACAGCTTCAAACAGAAGGCAAATCAACCCTTTGTAGTCTTTTCTCGGCTACTTCAATCTCAGGATAAACTGATGTTGTTTTAAAAAAAAGTTACGTGATTGGTATATGCTGGTAAATTTGCGGCACGATGTGTTGACAGCACTTATATTTTCTGTAGACCAGTGTCATAAAATCTCGGGTTTAAAAATGTAGAGAGGTGATCTCCCAATGGTGGAGAAGCGGTATTCAAGAGATCGGAGTGGGTTGGCGAATACCCAGGGAAATGTATTTACGGCAGCAGAAACGTCCATGTCCCGCATTATCCGATAATACGAACATCATATACTCCACACAGAAAGGATGGGAACATTTTATCTCCCCCTCAGTGTAGTACCGGGCAGAAACCGACTGTTTTCGACGTGCGCAGCGCCATTTTAAACTCCGGCGTCAGGGATGTACAGTAGGATGCGATGCGCGGTAGAGCGGAGCTCAAAGCGAGGAAGTAACGGTCGCGCTCGAGCGAGGATAACTGGCCGCTCGGGGCACCACGCCACGAGCCGGAGCTGTTCTGAAAGCCCGTGTTCCGCGCGCACGGAGCGCGCGCACGCCATCTACACAGACAGGCGCAGGTGCCGCCGCCGGCGCGCGGACCCGGGCGGGGGGGGACACGGGCGCGCTCGTGCGTTCTAACATATGTGCGGTAGATCAGCGTAGATGGAGACAAGGAAGGGCGGGGTCGAATTTCTCCACCCCAGGATCGAGGGTTGGAGTAGAGGTCTGCACGGGCGTGAAATTGAAGCCCGACCCGACCGAGCCCGAATGGTACTGCCCAATCTGAAAGCCGAACCCTAAATCGGTCACTCTATTCCTCTCAGAGCGAGTAGACACAGGTGCACACACACACAGACGGATTCTGTGTCGGCCGCTGTGCGCTTGAGTTGATAGAAAATGCCGTGCACCGAGAAAAAACTGGTATTTATCAATCTGTAATACTTGTGAAAGTGGGGAACGGCTGATATCCGTTAGCTAGGCACTGTAGGCTCTGTTACAGACATACGAGAGAGAGAGCGAGAACGGGCGAGCGCGTTACGAATTTCTTCTAATAAAAATACATTTAAAACATTAATAAGAATTTATTTTCACTTAGTAGAAAACAAGTTGTACGTGTACGAAGTTGTACGTGAAAAACCGACCTGAACCCGGCCGAAACCCGATACTTGGGGTCGGGTAGCAGACCTCTAGGTTGGAGTAGAGTAGACAGCGCGTCGTCACTGGGCACTCAGAACACTGGAAAACGAGAAAGCATTGAATATTAGTATAGAAACACAAATAGTTCACACCCATAGATCTGTAATTAATCGTTACAGGTAGTGCCACTGAAAGGCGGTTTTAAAAAGGCATGGAGTTTGGGTGGCACAATGGATAGTGCTGCTGCCCATTGGATCCTGGGCTCGGGTCTAGTCCTGGGTGCCTGTCTGTGTGGAGTTTGCATGTTCTGCTGGAAGGCTGTGTGGGTCTGTCATGTGCTCCAGCTCCCTTTTTTAGACATGCGGTTTAGGCTGAGGGGTGTGTCTGATGCATCTCTGC